TTGGGGTGTGGTCGTGTAAAATGATCTGAACCAGCATTTTTTAAAATGTACTTTAGAGACTGGGCTGCCTGTACACTGCCCAGAGAATATGCATTCACTATAGGGTGATATGAAACTATGAAAATAATCTATATTTTTCAAGTTCTCTATTTTAGATGAATATTTCTTTATGTTTTCTTTTTCTCCTTGCTAATGTATTTAAGATAAATTACAAACCTCATATTTTTAGATTGAGTAGACTTTTTCTGTGTGCATGTTTTAAATTCAGTTAGCCTCTGACAGACTTGTCATTCCTCACAGCTCCCTCTGTTCCTCACAAGTAGTCTGAAGATGAGAAGAGCAAAGGGAATTCTACAAAACCTATATCATAAGTCAAAAAGGAGAGCAACTGCTATTTTGTATTCAAGATTTACAAACTCTAAAAAATCTCTGTCTTTATTATCACGTAGAACCTAGCCCAGGGAATAATCTGAATAGAACCTTTACTAAAATGAGATGTGAGAAAGATGATTGCTCGCAAGCAAATCTGTCCAGAAGATATTATACTTCTCTTCCATATCATCTTCCCTCACTCCAAGCTACCACTTAAAGTTGACTGGAGTGACATGTGCTTTACACTTTTCTTTTCCTTCTAGGATCCGGGTTTGTCATGTGTAGTGGCAAGGAGAATCCAGACAGCGATGCTGACCTTGATGTGGATGGAGATGACACACTGGAATATGGAAAGCCACAGTATCATTTTCTAGAGGTGCTTGACTTCTAGTCTAGGGCTGGGGTTGTGCTTGGCTGCTGAAATCTGTACTGTTCTCCCAGTGATCACACCCCTTTTCATTCTGTTAGTGAAGGAATCCACAGCTTGTATGTATTCTAAACTGGGGGCAGGGGGAGATTTAGATCTGCCTTCGCTGTTAGATCTCCCCATAATTTGCAGAAGATTGATGGATATGTCTGATCTTCCGTTGTTTAAAATATTTTCCCTTCTGCCTCCTACTGTGTTACTGAAGCCAGGAATACAAAAAGTTATAAAAGTAGTTTTTGTCTAAGATTGAAAGCTCTGTTCCATTCTGGCACTCAAAACTAATTCCCACTTCAGGCTTCCTTAATTCTGAGCTTGTTTGTTGTATCAGGCTCTCGTTGGTGGATTTGGGGGTTCTTGGCATTTTATTAAACATCATAGGTCAGCTTAGTTAATTGGGGTCAGGAATTCAGTTATCCACAGTGCCTTGTAAGAGAGGAGACAGCCTCTTTAGTTTTGGGCAAGCTACAGGGTCCCAGAACACAACCAAAGAAGGGAATGGTAAACCACTTCTAAGTATTGTGTATCTTAGAAATCCTGGAAAGGGTTGCCGTAAATTGAAATTGACTTGATGGGATGTTGTTATCAGATGAACATGATTGTTAAAGATGTTTATTTCGTGTTGCTTCTCAATTTACAGTATCTGTATGGTGTCTTTTGTTGAGAAAACCAGCGATCTCTTCTGCCACTTTCAAGTGAACATGTTCTTACGTTGGTTTTCCTTCAGTTCATCTTGGCATTTCAAATAGTCTTTGAAGTGCATTTTCCAATACTGCAAATGATGATAGAAAATAACTGCGTGGTGCATTTATAGACATTCTACTGATTCTTTCTTCAACTTGAAAGTGTATCTTGGCTGCTCTACCTTGCTACCTTGGAATAAATGTGAAGAAAAGACCACTTGTTCCAAAGCTTGTATCAGGCTGTGTTTTCCTTAACCTTCCATACTTAGATATACAGAAGCAGATATCATTCCATGCACTGGGGAAGAACCAGCTGAAGCCAAAGAGAGAGAGGCACTCCGAGGCGCAGTCTTAAAGTAAGTAAGCTTTAAATGTTGTGTGGCAGAGAAGAATGGAAAGTTTCATTATGGCAAGGGATGATGAAACCGTTTTTCAAGGCAGGTACATTTTCAGTTTGTTGTGAGATATAAAGCTCAGACAGGATAAATCTAGGAAGCAGGAGCATGCCAAGAAGATGGTTATCAAACTGTAAGATGGTTATGCAGTAAACTCCCACTAGTTTAGTGACAGTTATGTCCAGGGTGATAGTGTTGGGTCTTACAATCTCTCTCTAAGGAATTCTCTCCAGGGCTGAGCCTGTATTTACTAATTGGGACTTCCTGTGTTAGAATCACCTCTCTAGGTTCTCCCATGAGAAATAGGAAAATCAAAAAGTTGTATAACATGACTTAGACTTAATGAAATACAATAAAATTCTTGTCATTGGCAAAACAATAATACTTGCATTTAAATAGAACTGAACAAGTCTTAAATATCCAGGAGGACCAGCAGGGTTATACTCTCCCTGTCGGCCTCCCTCAGAAAATCATCTTGTAGGGCAAATAATGCTGTTTCAGTTCCATGGTGTGGTCTGAACCCCGATTGAAATGGATCTAGGCTATCTTGTTTCCTCCAAGAACGCCTGCAGTAATGGCAGTTAAACAACTACACAGTTTAAGAACTTAGAACATCCATTACTTTCTATGGATTATGTAGTGTGGTAAGTGCAGAGGTGCAGTAATTTAAACATCCATCAAAATAGGGAAAGTGTAAGTGTTGAACATACCCACAGACAACCCTGTGGCATTACCAGTTTTGGCTACATATTTTTCAAAGCATTACAGCATTATAATTCTCCATTAGCTGCTAGGCATAGTTGCAATAACCCTTTCACTCAGAATAGCTGCACAGGATGGCACTGTGTTAATGTAGTGTTGCCAAAGTAGCATATTCTTCATTGCCATAAATGAGACAAGAATAGACTTCCAAACTGATGCCAGGCAGTTTTTGTAGGAAAGTAGGGAGTTGCCTTTTATACTGAGTTGGAACATTTCATCTGTCTAGTTCAATATTACTCTGCTGACTGTCAATCTCTCTCCAGAATTTCGGATAACTATTTGCCAACCTTACCTGGAGAAGATAGGGATTGGGATTGAGATTTTATGCATGTGCTCTGTGCTGTGTCATGGCTCTTCTCTTTTCATTCGGATTTATCCCACTCAACAGCCCGCTGTGAAGAACCCTCACAACACTTTGCACTTGGATCTACTCTGATCCAAATGGTATAATTGACACAGGGCCTACTGTATGTGTGTAACTCCGGCCCCTGCTGAACCTATAATAATGGATAAAATTCACTTTTTGCAGCCTGGGAATGTGGACAGGATGCTTGGAGAGTTGAGGGCCACCATACGTGTGTTGGACCTTTTCTCTTTCTGGCTCAGAAAATGAGACAGGGAGAATTGGCTTAGTAGGCAAGGGAAGTGGCAATTGCGTCCTTGCAGCAAGGCAGGGTTCCAGGATGCCTGAAAAAAACAGTAGTGACACTGCAGTTGAAAAAGCCTTCCTTGAATCCCACTGAGCTAAATACTGGTCAATCTCCAATATTCTGTTCTCAGACAAGGTATTGGAGATAACTCTTCAGTTAACAGTGGTGGGTTCTCATGTCCAAGAGTTAATGGATAAAATGGATTATCTAGATCCATTCCAGTCTGGCTTTTGGTCTTATACTGGGATAGAGAAGGCTTTGGTTGCCTTAGTGGACAACCTGTGCTGAGAATTGGACAGAAGGAACATTGTGTTACTCTTTGCTCTGCTGACTCTTTCAATACCACGATGAACTGTCTACTTCTGTATCATCTTTGATATGGGTTTTGGAGATGGTTTAACAGTAGCCCTAGCCATTTCTGGGGAAGTGAGCTTAGAAGCACTCCTTCACTTTCCTATCCAGATCCTCATAGTTACTTGGAACATGGTGAAAGCTGAGTCTGGCAGCATCATTTCTCACAAGAAACTGAAGGAAAGGATGATGGTCAGTGGTTAACTTAGTCCTGGATTGCTTTCTGACACATTCTGGATTTTCTTACCAGGGAAATAGCATGCCTTCCAAGATATCCTCTCATGTCCAGAAACTGCTATATCTGTCCCCCTTCAGAAGGGAGTCACCTACCACCACTGCCCATCTTCTCATTCTTCTTGGAGAAGTGGAAGAAGTTCTTCCATCCATAGAATCCTCCATGGTTACTTCTGTGCTGCCTGTTTCAGCAGCTCAGACTGGGTAGAGACAAATACCAGTTCTGAAAATACAGTGGGGTCTTGACTTGAGAACTTAATCCGTATTGGAAGGCGGTTCTCAAGTCAAAAAGTTCTCAGGTCAAATCTGCATTTCCCATAGGAATGCATTAAAAACCATTTAATCCGTATCTGCTCTTTTCCGTCCATAGAAACTAATGGGAAGCTGCTATTCTGCCTTCGACCCCTAGAGGGGGATATTTTGTTTCTTTTTTTTTCTTAGGTCAAGAAAGGTTCAGGGAAGACAGGAAAAATACAGTCCAGGCAGGACAGTACCAGGCAGTCTGAAGACTGTCTCCCAATCCACTCTCTAAACGCTGGGAGGAGTGAGGAAGCAGACAGGCACCCTTTTCACTGGCCAACAGTTAACTGAAAGTTCAAATTTTGCACTTTCCCTGCCTCCCATGTGTTTTTTTTCAGTTCTTAACTCAAATCTAAGTATGTAAGTCAAGTCAATATTTTCCTATGAGAGTGGTTCTTAAGTCAAAATGTTCTTAACTCAAGCTGTTCTTAAGTCAAGACCCCACTGTACATTATGCAGTTTGAGATTCCTAAGAAGACAGTTATTTTTTTCTTGTCATGTTCTTCCCAGGGCTTGTTTCCTGGACTTGGCATAATATAGTGGGATATTCTTGATTTTAATATAGAAGAGGGTTGTTCACATCCTCATACGACTAGGGTAGTACTAAAGTCTCATGCAGGAGCAAGGTGTAGTGGATATTCAGTATGACCTGATATGATGATACAAGACAGAGAATCTTTATAGATTCATTGTGTCACTAAACAAAGGCTGCACTCAGTTTCCCATCTAGAAATAGAAATATTGGAGTGTCACAAACAGTTGTTCTGTTGGTAAACATTAATAGATTGCTAAGTGTCACTTTGAAATGCTGCATAAAATATAAATCCTGGTAACAGTTTAATGAAAGGTTTGCTAAGAATTTCTTGTGACATGCACTTTATTCCTGCATCTTTTTCCCCCCAGTGGTGGCACCCCTAGTACCCGAATAACACCAGAATTCTCCAAATGGGCAAGTGATGGTGAGTGTAAGATATATATGGGGCAGACAGATCTTTGAAGACAGAAACTGAATATCTCAGGATGAAGTTTTAATAGTTTGCATATGAGTGTATCTTGTTGTCCTGTATATGTAACTGCAGTAATCTGAAGCATTGAAGTAAGCAGTGTCTTCCAGCTATTGAGTTGTAGTGGGAGAATCCATAAAGCAGTTTAATTAATGTTCACAGAGCTGAATACAAATACTACCTTTGTTTTTCAACAGAAAAACTGAAATACAGTGGTGCCTCACTTTACAATCGCTCCGTTTGACAACGAAATCGCATTACATAGAAGATTTTGCAATCGCAAAAGCGATCGCAAAACGATGTTCCCTATGGGGGAATTTCACTTTGCGATGATCGGTTCCCTGTTTCGGTAACTGATCACCGCAAAGCAACGATTTTCGGCCAGCTCATCGTCGGTTTCAAAATGGCCGCTGGGTAAAAAACGTGGCCGCCCGCTGTTTTCTGGCACGGATTCCTCACTGCACGGGCAGCAAAAATGTCTGCGTTATGGAGAATCTTCGCTGGACAGTAAGTTTTAAGCTCATAGGAACGGATTAATTGGGTTTTAATGCGTTTCTATTGGCTTTTTGAAATTGCATGACAATGTTTTCGTTCGACAGCGATTTTTACGGAACAAATTAACATTGTCATGCGAGGCACCACTGTATAACTAAAACAATGGAATCATCTAGAGCAGTGGTTCCCAACCTAGGGTTCCCAGATGTTCTTGGACTACACCTTCCAGAAATCCTGGCCAGCACAGTCAGTGGTGAAGGCATCTGGGAGTTTTAGTCCAAGAATACCTAGGGACCCAAGATTGGAAACCACTGATTTAGAGGGATGTGATGCTATGTTATTTATATCCTACTTTCAAATGTCCCTAGAAAAAATTAACATTAGAGTACAGTTTTCTGGCTTTTGGTCCTGTATCTAGCCTGCTATGCTTTAGTGCATTCATCTTTGCTTGGATGATGATTTGGGAACTATAAAGCTTGTCTTCTACTTGACTAGTTCACTTGACTAATTCATTTTTTGGTTTCTCTTTACTTCTATTCAGATAAATATTTCTCTTCAGTGATCATGAGCTTTCCCTTCTCTTCACAGAGATGCCATCAACAAGTAATGGTGAGAGCAGTAAACAGGAGCCTATGCAAAAAACCTGCAAGAATAGTGACATAGAAAAGTAAGTATGACTTGGACAATTCTGTTTGTGTTGGGGTGGAAAGAGAAAGTGCCAAGAATTTCTTAGTGGACAGACAAAACTACTACACATGGTGTGAGGGTTGTTGCAGCTAATGCGTAGATTTCTAAGAGAGACTTACAGTGGTGCCTCGATTTACGACCATAATCCATTCCGGAAGATGGATGTAACTCGAAATGGTCGTAAGTCGAACCACGATTTCCCATAGGAATGCATTGAAATGCAATTAATCTGTTCTGGCCGAAGGAAAAAAAATAACTACAAGGCCCATCGGAAACGCGATTAATCCCTTCCAGCTGAAGGGGGGGAAGCAATCAAGCATGCAAGACCCATCAGAAATGCAAAGAAAACAAAAGAAAAAACAAAGGGAGCACATTGGAAATGCAAAGAAAACAAAGGGAATGCATCGGAAATGCAAAAAAACAAAGGAAAAAGCAAAGGAAGCACATTGGAAATACAAAGAAAACAAAGGGAGCACATCAGAAATGCAAAGAAAACAAAGGAAAAAGCAAAGGGAGCACATCGGAAATGCAAAGAAAACAAAGGAAAAAGCAAAGGAAGCATGCAAGACTAGGCAACCCCCCAAAAGCAACCAAACCCCCTAAGACACATCAGGAATGGGGGGGAACCAAAAAACACAAACCCCCCAAGACCCATCAGAAATGGGAAAAAACACTCCAAAAAGCAACCAAACCCCCCAAGACCCATCAGAAAGGGGGGACCCAAAAAAATAAACAGACCCCCCCATCACAGCACAGAAGCATAAACCCCCAGCCCAAAGCCACGCTGCAAACCCCACCCAGAACAGTTTTTTAAAAGCAGGAAGGAGTACCTTACCTTACCAGGCAGCCTCCTCCAATTGCACCCTCTCTAACTGGTGGGGCAAAAGAACTACAAAGAAGCAGCCTTGTCACCACCTACAGCTAGCAATTTGAATTTCCCGCCATTTTCCCCTGCCTTTTTGTGTTTGTAACTGGAAGCTCCATGTGGCGCTGTGGGCTAAACCGCAGAAGCCTGTGCTGCAGGGTCAGAAAACCAAGCAGTCGAAAGATCGAATCCAAGTGACGGAGTGAGAGCCCGTCACTTGTCCCAGCTCCCGCCAACCTAGCGGTTCGAAAGCATGCGAATGCAAGTAGATCAATAGGGACCACCTCGGTGGGAAGGTAACAGCGTTCCGTGTCTACGTCGCACTGGCCATGTGACCACGGAAGATTGTCTTCGGACAAACACTGGCTCTATGGCTTGGAAATGGGGATGAGCACTGCCCCCTAGAGTCGAACACGACTGGACAAAAATTGTCAAGGGGAACCTTTACCTTTAACTGGAAACTCCAGTCGAAGCAAAATTTTGCAGCCAGAGCTGGTTGTAACTCGAAATGGTCATATGTCAGGACGTTTGTAAGTTGAGGCATCACTGTATTTCCATTTTCTGATTGAGTGCTTTATCTATCTCATAACTGAAAGTCAAATGATTTTTCTCATATATCTTGGGGAGTGCATTTTTCATATGGATTCCAAGAGGATTTTCCAAGCCAATAGTGCAATGCAGCTGCAAAAAAAAGGCAAACGCTATTTTAGACTGCATTAACAGAAGTATAGTCTCAAAATCTCATGTATTAATTCCCATGAATTTAGTACTGATTAGCCCTCATCTTGAGTACTGTGTCCAGTTCCAGACTCCGTACTTTAAGAAGCATACTGACAAACTGGAACAAGTTCAGAGGAAGTCAGCTAGGATGTTCAAGGAACTAGAAACCAAGCCCTATGAGGAAAGGCTGAAAGGCAAATTCTAATACAGTGGTGCCTCAATTTATGACCATCCCAACTTACGACCATTTCGAGTTACAATCAGTTCTGGCCACAAAATTTAGCTTTGACTTGTGACCAGAGCTTTAAGTTACAACCAGAAAAAAAAGGGAGGGAAAAAGGCGGGGAATTGGTGGCGAAGAGGCTGCTTCTTTGTACAGTAGCTCTTTTGCCCCAGCGGTTAGAGAGCGTGCGTTCAGAGGAGGCTTTGGACTGCCTGGGTTTGGGCTGGGTGGTGGGGTATGTTTCTATGCTGTGATGGGTCTTTCAGGGTTTGTTTGCTTTTTGCTTTGCTTTTTTGCACTTCTGAAAGTTCTTGCACGGTTTGTTTGCTTTCTGCTTTTGTTTGCATTTTTGATGGGTCTTGCACGATTTGTTTGCTTTTTGCTTTGCTTTTTTGCATTTCCGAAGGGTCTTGCACAGTTTGTTTGCTTTTCTTTTTCCCTAGGCTGGAACGGATTAATCACGTTTCCGATTGGTCTTGCAGTGTTTTTTTTGCTTTAGCTTTTTGGGGTGTGTGTTTGTGTGATTTTTTTCTTCTTCTGCCGGAATGGATTAATTGCATTTCAGTGCATTCCTATGGAAAATGATGCTTCGACTTGGTCATTTCAACTTACGACCGGAGTTCCGGAACCAATTAAGTTTGTAAGTCGAGGCACCACTGTATCCTTATTTGGTTCTTGAATTTGGATGCATCTTCTTCTAGCAACTAAGAAAATACTCTACTGTATTGGCTGATGCAAACTCTTCAAGCACAGGTGTAAGGTGTGTGTGCTCTCTCTCTCTCTCTGTCGCACAAAGATATACGTTTCATTTTCCCAGTGTAGAACTGTAGCTAGCCATTCATATTGGCCTTTGCCTCTTGTGCTCCCTCCCTGTTATACTTGTTTGGCTCATTTCTCCTCTGTTCTCCTCTCCTTAACCCAGCCATATCAAACCTGAAGGGGCTACAGATCTGTTGACTTCCCACTCTCCAGGTAGCACAGGTCATGCCTGTCCAACACACCACTAAAACAAACAACAAAGCAAGGCTGGAGAACCTTTGCTGAGAGTTAGCAGTCAGGGTGACTAGTACAACCTGTTTGGGATAGAGCACAACTCGTTTGTGTTGTTCCGGATTAAAACTTGTAGCCAAATCCAGTGGATCAAGAAAGTTTGTCTGCCTATCCTTCCTGGATTTGTGTATCTAGGAATTAATTTGGGATTTTACAACATTGGCATTAAAAGTTAAAAGCTTTATTCAATGCTTCTTGAAGGACCCCCGAAATGCTTCCAAATGGCATGTATAGTAATTCTGTGTGGTGAAATATATCTCTGTTTTTTACTTGTAAGAAGTACTCCTCTTCTGTGTGGTGAAATATATCTCTGTTCCTTACTTGTAAGAAGTACTCCTCTGTCACAGGACATTTAATACCCTGACTCTGAAAGTAAAAAAATTGTACTCTGACACTCTGCCCCCATTACCTTGTGAAAGTAGGTAAATGCCAATTGCCATTTCTTGGAACTTTACAGCATTTTTTCCTTAGTTCATAAGAAATCACTTGCAGAAAGGGGTTGTTGCCTTCTGGTTAGAGGGTCTTCTAGAGCAGGGGTCTCCAAACTTTTCACCTTGATGGCCACATAATATATTTTCCATATTTTTGAGGGCCAAAGGAAGGTACACACGCATGTACTCCCACCTGCCTGCGCATGCACACAAGCTGGATAAAAAGGCAGGGCAGACTGGATGTGGCCCACAGGCCATACTTTGAAGACCCCTGTTCTAAAGAGAAAATAGAATGTTTGGAAATGAAGGTCCCAGCTGTGCTTTCCTTCTGCTCCTTAAGGGTTTTTGTCTGATAAATAGTTTGTGTTGTGATGTTTAAGGAGCAAGAATGCTGTGTGTAAAAAGGTGGGCTTTGTTAAGTTAATTGATAACTGGGATCAGACCTTGGGGCATGACAAAAGGAAGGTGTTCTTTTTATTTGCACTGTCTAGCTGCTTGCACCTGTACTGCCAAGCCATGATATATGGTGACCCAGTCCAGCTAGCTAAATTGATTCATCTGCAGTTCCTGGTTCTTAATCTGGAGCTAAATTGGTTTCATTTTTCTTCTTTTAGGTGGTACTTGTGCTATGCTTTTTGTGGGATCACTTCCTTCTGTTCATAACTTTAATTTTTGCTTTTAAATCTGGGCATTATTGATTAGCGTGTTAAGCTCCGTGTAACGTCTGATTAGCATTTTAAAAAGTGTTTAGAAGCACATGGTTTATCACCTATGTCAGCTGGGCTGTCCATTTAGAACAACGGTTAATGGAGTTAGCAGTGATTCTCTTTATTGATTCCACTTTTATAAGAATGACATTCATTTTCTCTCCCCTTTCCAAAACAAAGTCTGGGCATGGAGAGTATCTTTTTAATTAGCTAATACAATACAGTAAACTGTCCTTGTTTTGGCACACAGCTAATGTACTTGGGTTGAAAGTTAATGGAATATGTGCTTCAGGCTTCTTGTAGCGGAGTCTCCTGCATGCCAAGCAACTTGCCTTGAGTAGAGAGAGATATTCCACGGTTTCTCTTTTCTATAATCTCTGATCTGCCCTGCATTAGACCAGGTTTCCATTCAGCCTTTCTCTCCCAAGTTTGTACTTGAAATTCATGTGGTATCTGCCATTGGTCCATTTAAATCAAAACATAAACCATGATTTATTTTTCTGCCTGACCTGAGCCATCATGAGAAGACAGGTCAAATAAAAAGTGTTCTCTTGTCTTTGCTTCACTTTGTCTGAGGATATCTATTATTCTTAAAAGTCTTAATATAGTTTTAATTATTTAAAATACTAATATTGCTTAAATCTTACCATTGTTACTGGAGAAGAATATTTAGATGGCTGATGAACGAAATGCTTAGATCTAGAAAGGCAGTCAGGGTTCAGCTTTGATTGTGGCTTTATGCCAATGTAGAGTCAGTTACCCAGTTTTTAGTGTCTGGTCATGTGTTCAGAATTCATAGAACAGTCAGACTAGAAGGGACCACTTGAGCTGTATCTGGACACACATATAGTACGTTTATTTGGTATAAAATTCACAAAGCTTAAAACATTTCTCCTCCACCTCTTCAAAATCCAGATGCCTCTTTTTCTCAATCTATATACATGGCACTGAATCATTATTTTTATATTGTGTTTTTTTTTAATT